ATAAGGGGGTTCCATGACACCCCTTAGATTTGGAGATTAGCTCAAAATATTAGTAGTATTAGTTAATAATAATATTTAAATCCTAAATTTTAATGTCAATTGTCAAATCCTCTACCGTTAAATTACAACAAACTATATAAATTAATTTCATATACTAATTTTTGCACTAATACGTTCTTGGTTTATCAAGATGGATAAGATCGAGATGCATATTATTTTGATAAAGAGGAGGTGCATATTATTAGAGGAAATCATTAGATTATTTTTGTTGATAATAGTCGAAAGAGAAAATTAGTTCCCATCAATTATTTGCTTGTCAAAATAGATTTGATTTGCTACTGCTTTTGTCGCACAAGTTAATAACATTTTATACTATGAAACGACTGACCAGCCTTTGCATCTAGTGACCTGAAATTGTGAATGGTTATTTGGTGGGATACATAACGTGTGAAATCTTGATAGTTAGGCCGATTTACATGAAATCCAGATCATACATGTACAGTGCTCTCCGGTACAATACGGTTTGGACCAAGTAGGCCGCGTTCAACAAAATTTCACTCTTCTCCCTCTCTTAAATCCTCCTTGATATCCAAAAATTTAGTAACCAATATCCTAGTTAAACAAAAAAAAAAATTGTGACCTTAATTAACCCACGAAGAAATATGAGAGGAGAAGTGGACTTTTTGTAGTTCTCACTCTCACTTCAGTCTCCACTACTAAATCCAGTATCCACTAAAAATAAAATATAAAACAAATAGCTTCTCTCCATGTTTCTTTATGTGCTACCGCTTGTCTCCCTCTTCCAGGCAGTTCCGAAGATTTGCGTGCTTGATACCCACCACAACGACCTCGATGCCATTATGAACCACTGGGATGGCCACTTTGCTTGTCATAATTTCTCTTATCTCACCAGATTGAATAAGTTTTGTTCTGCATTTCATATTATTGACTCCAAAGTCTAGACATGGCCAATGGAGTTGATTTTCCCATCTTTTCCTATCTTGGTTTGATTATTTCATTAGGAAATAAAGTAGAAGGGATCCATTGAGCAATTTGTTTGAAGAATCCATAGAATTGTTTTGCTTGTACGAAAATCTATAACAGGAAGATCTTTGCTTGCCATGGTCGGATTGATCAGACTCGCGATTTATTCTTTCAAATGCATAGATGGAGAATTGATATTATTTTTGTTTGGATTAGTGGGTAGTGGGTTACGATTTGTCATGATTAACCGTGATTTATTGTGGTCCAGACCATATCAGACCACACACTAAAAAGAGACACCACAAACCAGATCATACCGTAATTATGGTCTCACGGTCCGGACCAAACCATGCGGTTCGATCTAAACTATAATTTTTCATACAGTTTGGTATGGATTGCCAATCCTAATAAAAACCATTCACTTGATTGTTTATCACTGGACTAATTTTAGAGAGATGAAAAATCATATGGATATAGATTAAAGGTCCACTTTGTGATTAGTTTTTTTATTATGAAAAGCAGGAATTTTATTTCATCGAAAGCTCTAATCAAAAGAGCAAAACCATCACCACCAACACTGTGTAACACTATTACAGATGCTTACCATATGATGGAAAGCAAAAACTACAAACAAACCAGATGGGAAAGAGAGAATCACAAAAAAGAAAAGCTATTGAAACCATAGTCTTTTTCTCTGTACTTCCTGCCTTAACTCAGCACTTCCCAAAATCTTCCACACGAGAGTTTGTTGCATACTGTCTTCTCACCAAATCGTTCAGATTAAGAGTGCGCTTGCCAAACAACCTTCTACAACGCTCCCTCCAGAGCTCACTGACTCCAAACTAGCCTTCCCACTTTACACCTTTTGAACTTATGTACATCCAAGGAAATTTATGTAGTCATCAATAATATATGACTAGATATTTCACCCGCGCTCTGCGTCGGGAAGTGCGACCTATGAACTTAATTATCGGGCAATAAACAAATTAACTGTATTATAAAAGTGATAAACGCCAGAGATTAAAACATAAATCAGTCAGAGAGGTTACATTTTGAACTTCCTGTAATATTTTCACAGGGTATGCTGGTTGCCACACAATATTATTATAAACTTACTATCCATTCCTTCCATCGACATATCATACAAATTAGGATAAAGTACTGCATGGCACATATCACAAAAGGAGTAACAATCGTGAAAAGCCATAATAGCTTTATCCACATACACAAACTTGGCCGAGATGATGATCAGTACACATATGCAAACTACTGCTGCACTTAAGGCAACAAAAGGAAACGAAGTCAGAGACATAAAACATAATAGTATAAATGAAGAACAAAGACATTTCATGTTTTTCTAACAACATAATCCCCTTTGCAACATATTTGGAAAGGAAAGGAACAAACACTAACTTCCAAGGTCATAATAAATAAGGATGAAGAAAACGACTTGATCAGTTACTTGGGCGCAATGAGACGGTCAACAAACATAAACATAATCTTTTCTTACCCATGTTCAGCCAAGTTGAAATTGCAACCATTATATAAGACGGCAACGAAAACAGCTAACAAATAAACAGTTGAAAGACTTTAATAGTTCAATAGTGGTAAGATTGAGAACATACCCAGGCATGGAACAGAGACAAAAAAGAACTCAATGAGAGAAGGTATAAAGAGAATACAACATGTAACGAAAAAGGTTCAGGGAACTCACCGATCCATAATATCAAGCCAGATTCCTAGTTTGTGTAAATGATGACCAATGTCGTTTCATCAATCCCTAGTCACTTTGATGAGAGGCAAATGATGACCAATGCCGAAGTCTATTAGAGCTGAAAGAGCACTTCAAACCCCTCCACCGTTTTTTTCCTGATACTGGAGGAGATGACGCCTAAGAAAGATTTGTCATACATTTCATATCACCCTAAAACATTTGTAACTGATAAAGAGAGAACAAAATGTCGTTGAAGAGATAGGTATAAGTGATAAAAGAACAAAACAAAAGCAAACTAAAAGAAAGACTCCAGAAATTACCTTCACAACACCACAGAGAAGTCTGACTATCTGTTCATGGGCTCCCATTCAATCAATCTTCCAGCTGGTTCTACTGGTTTAAAATGCAACCAATCACCACCTCTGCCAGCGATCTAAAAACACCCATCTGCGAGCTGATAAACCCAAAACAACAATGTTCCACGTTTCTAACCCACCACAAAAACTCGGCGCTTGCGAGGAATTTGCATTCTGAAAGTCAAATGAAACGGGAAAAAGAAGCATAAGTTTACATGGCAATCCAAATTAATGTCAAAATATATGTCAAGATCATTCATTAGACCTGCAGTCCTCTGTCCTGCAAGACGGATCAGGACGTTGTTTGCTAACACTATGAAAAACATGAGAACTAAAGGCACTCAATTTCTCATTACAACGACATCCAAAAAGACTATCACGATTGTCGTTAAGACCAAGCAAACAAAAGTTGTACTCTGTAAAGACACAAAGGTCCATGGCCACTGAACTTTATAGAAGTGACACATGCTCACAGGATATAATTTTTACCGCGTTCCAGAATTGGCAGATAGAGCTCTCCCCCGGCTCACCTGTGGTTGATGGAGCTTCCTCAAATCCGTCACTCAACCCTCGATCAGGAGGGTAAAATAGCGGACCTGGAAGTTGATGGGAAAAGAGGCGAAAATCACTACACAAAAAGAATCTTCGAAGTTAATTGATAAAAATCACAGGAATTTCACACCTGCCAGAGATTGGTGAGCTACAATGATGCCTTGCTATGTGCAATACTGTAAAACCCCCGCATCAGATCGCAAGTTCCCATCCAGGCAATCACCTGGTCTCACTGACTTTCTCAAGGGATCCAATGGCCGCCTCTCTGAATATGAAATCATTGCCGATATCTCCCCTGAAATAATTCATCAACGACAGGGAAAACATAAGTTGCAGCTCAGGATCACCCCCTACTCCTTTCTCAACCTCCCAAACTCGCCATTTAATGCTTCAAGTTCTACTCGATTGAGAAACAGAGATGAGATATACATGACAGAGAGAGAACAAAAAGTTGTCCAATAAAACCTCAATCGAACGAAACCACACATAAAAATGGAGAAAAAAAACATGAGACAGAGGGGAAGAGTCACCTGAAACCAGAATTGAGTCTTCTATTAACCCGACTGCAGAACCTTACTGAAATGTAGAGATGGGCCACTGGGTATAATTTGATTGCTATTCACATCAAAGCAATCCTCTGTTTTACTGCCCTCTGACTTGGATTTAACAACCACCGTTGGCTCGATTCTCTACCACGAACTCGTCACCAGCTTTGCCAAAGAAAAGAGCTAATTAAAAAAAGGACCACAAACTAAATTGAAAAAAACTAAACATCAAAGAGAGGGACAAAACAGAACATCAAAGTAGAAATTGCTAGCGCTTACCAGAATTGGCAGATAGAGCTCTCCTTGGCTCGCCTGTGGACGACGGAACTCTTCATATACCAATTACCAAAAGTCAATTAAGAAAGAGAGGAGGATCACCTGGGAGCTACAGAATCACCCAGCAGTAAAAAGAGAGGAGAAAGGCTGAAAACCTCACCGGACATTACCTTTTCAAGGTTCCCCTCCTTTGCTTGGGATTTTTCAACTAATTGATTTTCAAATCCAAGAAATCCTCTCCCCTAGATGGTATATATGTGAGTTTCAACAACCATTGCCGGCCGTGTGTCCGCTCCAGCAGATCTACAATCCAAAACATAGATCATTAGATTGTTGGCTCAGAACCACAAAAGACCCTAAATCAGAACTCAGAAAATAAGATTGTTGGCTCTGTGCTAGCAAAAGACCCTATGAAACAAACCTCTCGGAAGCTCAGTCGGCTGTACACACCCTACTTGGAAGACAATGACTTCTCGCTTCCACTTCCCTTCCCCCACCACCCATTACCACCGCTCTCTCTGCCTTTCTGTCTCGCAATTCTCTTCGATCCGCTGAAAATTCGCCGGTCGGGAAATGGATAGCAAGGACACGCGATCGAGGTTCGTAATCGAAGTTGCTCCCTTCGCTAGTGAAATAGGCCCAGGCCTCCCGCTCAACAACTCCACCCACGGCGAGCAATTCCTCGTCACCAACCTCTCCATCCGGTTCGCTCCTTCCTCTCAAGCAAACCAGCCTCAGTTCTTCAACGTCTCTCGTAATAGACTCTCCGGCCCGATTCCCGTCACGCCTGCTTTGGTCCGATTCAACGACAACTCGTTCTCCGGCAATGGCGATCTCTGCGGCGACCAGATTGGGAAGCGATGCTTGGGATTGAGAGCAGCAAAAGCAGAGAGAGGCATGGAAAAGAGAGTGAAAAGAAGGGAAGAAAGAAAGAAAGATATAGATAGATAGAGAGAGAAGAAAGTGAAACGATTCTTAGCTTTCCCCTCCCTTCTGGGTAAGTGTATTTCTGTTTGACCCTTCTCTGCGTCTCTGTCTCTCTCTTCAGTCATCTAGGGGCCTGACACAGCAACACTCTTCTCAAAGCATGGAGAGTGGGTGACAGAGGCTTGGAGAGGAGACGTGTTGTGTCAGGGAGTCTACGTGTTCTTGCTGGTGATGATGTCGAAGCTTTGAGATGACCGTCCATTTGAGGCCGACGCGGTTCCCATCGCAAACGGAAGGAGGAAGAGAAAGGGCCTGCAATCCGTCTCAAAACGGCAACACAAAATCGACAAAAAGGTCCACAACACAGAGAACTAAAGGTGGACCCAGCCCAAACCAACCAACCAATCAGAACAAAATGAATAGTCAATTGTGTCTAGGTGAACAGGGTTCGGGGATTAGTGGGATGGCACAAGGCAGGAAGCCATCGCATCAACTGTCATCTCTGTGCAGCAAAGCAGGGATGCGATGCAGAGAGGTAGGAAAGTGGCGGCTGAAACCCGAAACTGTCATCTCTATGCAGCAAAGCAGGGAGGCGATGCAGAGAGATGGGAAAGTGGCTGCTGACCTTCCATTTCTTTCTCAAGGAGGGTCGAGTCGAATCCCTGTCTCGTACCAGAAGCCCAGAGAGAGAAGAAGGTATGCGAGAAAAGACAGCCAGAGAAAGAGGAGGAAAGCATCGGCCCTCCGTGGGCAACGTGCTCAGCCTCGCAAAGTACCACGCAGAAAATCCGGCCCAAACTCAAAAAAACCGGAGAAAAAATCGCCGGCCCAACCCCAACACACTGAGAAAACCAGCAGGGCCACGCACAGGAAAGCAACCAATCAAGGGAGGCCAAACAGTAAATTTAGGTCTAAATGAATAGTATCTTCAGTCTATGTGCACGGTAGGGGGTGTGTCTTTGGAAATAATGTTCTTTAATTTATTTCAAATAATACAAAATGGTTGTTACTTTTTAAACAATGATAGATGATATTATCACTTTTGTAATTATTTTCTAAACTTATGCATTATTATTATTTAATAAATTTTATTTTCAATAAATTTGCGTCAACAAAATTTAGGGCAATATTCTAAATTTTCGAACAGGGCATCTGACTATCAACCGATCATTAACTAATAATACTTTACAAGAGAGTCAACTGATGATATATAGCCCATGATATATACATAAGAGTAACATTGGTATGTACGGTCATAACAATTTGATATACTTGATCTCCTTCGATCCGATCCCAGTTTGGTTTGGTCAAAATATAAACACATTATCTATCTATTAGCCATCGTATGCTTTCGTCCCGTTGGAGTTAAATTACTAAAGTTTCCAGCCTAATTAATGCTCTGTCAGGTCAATTTGAAAAGATCATTCATTGTCATTAACACAACTAATAAGAACCGATAGATCAATCCCTGAGTACCCATATAAATTATATCCATTTTTAAAAAATACCGTACCTATATATCCTGCTAGGTACGTACGTATACAGTTGCTGATTATACGCTCTCACTAGTGATGGCAATGGGGCGGGCGGGGCGGGTACCTCAATTCCCATGCCCCGTTCCACGCTACTACGGGCGGGGCGGGTAAAACCCGCGCGGGTACGGGGCGGGACGGGTCGACCCACTCTTACATGTTATTCGAAAAAAATACAAGTAAATTTTACTTTTTACGATAAAACGAAGGGTAAAACAATTTAAGAATGAAAAATAGTGATAATAGAATGGGTAATTGAGTCTAACAAGTTGAAAGAGCGACTCTAACTAGTTGAAGAAAAGTCAAAATAGGAGAAATATGTATAGAAATTGTAAGAAATTGAGATAAAATAAGTCTAGAACGGGGCGGGGCAGGGCGGGTCGGAAGTAGATACCCATGCCCCGTCCCACGCTACTGCGGGTCGGGTAATACCCACCCCATCGCGGGTCAGGTCGGGTAATACCCGCGGGGCGGATTGAAATTGCCATCACTATCTCCCACTACCTAACGGCTAACATGATGTATTAGGCTTGAGTTCAAATACGGAAAAGTATTTGAAAGTATCAAACTGAAAAGAGAATTATTGAGTGTAACATCCCGTTCCGGCAAAACCCATATTTCAATCGCTAGAAAATTTCACGATTTAAAATCGAGCATTTCGACACTATTTCGACGAAAATCGGATTATCGATCGATCAGATAAGTATACGTATTAATTAATATATATATATATATATATATATATATGTCCAATTAATTCCCCACCGCCATTTCATTTCATTTCCCCATCTTCCTTTCACTTCCGGACCGAGAGAAAAGAGAGCGAGCGAATGCAGGGGAGCGACTGGGGAGAATTTCCAAAGCTCAAATCCTAAGCTCTAGTGATCCAAAAATCCCGTAAGTAATGCCTTATTCATCCATACATCGTGATTTATCGATTTAGAGCTTTAAAACGAGTTTTTGGTTCAGGAATTTCTTGAATTCCCGATAAGCCAAATTAGGGTTTCGGAGTATCCGGAAGCCGGATTGAGCCCAAATTTCATATACGAGCTTCCTTCCGCGAGGTAATCAATCCCCTAGTTCTAATCCCTGAATTTCGGCTATTATTTAGATCGGAGCCGGGATCGCTGAATTTAGCTCCGGCCAGGGTTTGATGTGTTTTTATCGAGAATTTGACCCGGAGCCTAGAACTAATATTGACGGGGATACTGCAGGGGATATTAGGACGGTCTCGGATTTTAATTTGGGGTTCGTTCGTGAAATTGATGTTTTAGTACGGGGAAGCTTAAGCCGGTGTTTGAACGACCAGAACTGGTGAGGGATTAGCACGGCATACCGGGTTTGTCGTATCACGATAATTACATTGATGCTTAGAATTGACCTAGGTGAACTAGAATGGCATGATTAGGGGTGTATGGACTTTTGTGTTATATGATGAACCCTGGACTGTTGTATGATATTATTGATTTGCCCTAGCCGATATGGACCTTGTTTATGTTGATGATTGCATACATCTTGCCATTTGTGGCTTAACCGTTGATATGAATTCATGGTTGTTCGATCAGGTGTTTCGATATGATGTGATATTGTGGTTGTATTTGGATTCACAAGTGGGGGAAATAAACTTCCCAGGGTGATATTATGATGTTTTAAGGAGGATGACTTGCACGAGGGTTTATCCCGAGGAAGTGCAATTATACGACTCCTGATTTACCTATGTTGAGCCAATTGTGGCCTGGTCAAGTACATGTGCAAGTAATGAATTATGATTAAGCAAGATGATATATGAATCATGTATAAGGATACCAAATATGAGTGTTGTGGTCTCACGGTCAATTACGTAGTAATTAGGGCTCCCTATGCTATTACTCTATTATGATATGTATGATAGTCACACCTCTCATGTGGTGGTGACTGAAGAATTCTTATGAGATATGACCACACCCAGAGCGGTGTCGGGGTATGACTACACCCATAGTGGTGTGGGGTATGTATGACCACATCCGACGGGATGTTGGGGTATGTATGACTACATCCGACGGGATGTGGGGTATGTTTCCCGGGAGAGTTATTAGCATGGGAGTAGCCAGGCGCCTATGAGTAAAACATGATAAGATGCATATGCATAAGTCAAGGTGGTTGAGTCTTTTGCCTATTGGGATATGAGGATGGCTGAGATCTGATCCTAGTGCTTTGGCTTGTTTGCTAGATGTATGGTAGGGGTATGCTCTGTTATGAACTCACGATGCTATGATTCTCTCACTCAGCTATGAGCTGACCCTCTTTTATTCTTCTTCTCTGCTTATGCTATGTGTAAGCAGATCATCAGCAGCAGCAGTAGATAAGTGTTAGGTGGGAGAGGAGCTAGAGTTGAAGCCAGGATGAGGTATGGTCTTCAACTATTCTGTGCTTGGACTACTACTCGGGATTTTGGCCAGTGATCCACACCGTTTTTGTAAAAATGTTTTGAGAACGTTTTTCATGTGCATACTAGCTTCTGATCTAGTGTGAGATATCCACAGGTGTGGAAAGTTAATGATATGTGTATATGTTGTGTAACTGTGTAAGTTGTGACGATTATGGTATGTATAAGTATGGTATGCAGTTAGGAAGTATGAAAACTGTGGCTTGGCTATGAAAAGCCAATGCATATGGTTGTGAGTATATATGTTTGTGATGAATTATTTTGCAGGATAAGTTGCAAGAACTGTTAGCCCATTACGCGAGTAATTCATGTCGAAATTTTATTTGGGTAAATTTTGATAATTAATGTAACGCCCGAGATTAATTCCGCTGCAATTGTATGAACAATATGATTAGGCAAAACCTATAGGGTAGGGTGTTACATTGAGGTTAGTAGTAATAGGGATGTATTACTGTCTCATCCTTCCATAATTTATTAGGAATCTATTAGGGTCATACAACTCTTCATGATTATCTTAACTGAAAAGTATCAAACTAAGTACGGAATGGTAAAAGAGAGACGAGATTACGTGATATCCAATTTTACTCGACTAGTCCACGAAAGAGAAAGTTACTTAGGCTTTTGTGTTTTTCTTATAGATTGATGGTTTGGCCGGCGTGAATGTCATGGCCTTGTTTACGATGGCTCGTACGCAAGCGCTAGGTTAACCTTGCTGAAGAGATCTCAAAGATCTTCCCGTATTAATTCTGTCATCTTTGCGTGCATGACGCTATTATGGATTTTGTAACTAGTTGAGGGATGCTCCCATCGATGAAGCCGACTTTGTGCTTTGTAACTAGGGCATCGATCATCTCTAACGCCCATTCTCCATACTTTGAGGGCATGAGGAGACTGCTCATGTGGAGAGGACTCGTGTTGTCGAACTAGTGAAGAAAATACGATCTAAGGGGAACGATGCCAAAACCACCCGATGTGTCGTCCTTTGGCTGCAGCGTCACCCCCGTGAAGGAGAAAGCTTCTTCTCCTAACATGGTTATCAACCAAGGATCAAGCTTACAGCTCTGATA